ACTGCTATGGCCTTCCAACTTGCTTAAAGTTGACAAGCAAAAAACAGTGTGCTTTAAAACTTCTGCCAGAGGACCCACTTCAATATGGAATGTCCAAGGCAATCGAACAACAAATTGAGACAAGCAAATTAAAACTGGAAACTGTCATGGAAAGAAAAGCAGGCAAAAGATGACTAAAATGTTGTCTGGGCTTTTCTCCAAGCTGGCTTTGGCAATGGGATGAAAGTCCTTTGTCTCAATGGTAAAAAATGATTGGATGTGTATAGATTTTGACTCAAGATAGAGATAAACTAATAAAAATGGGCTGCATTAGAAATTGGTGAGTACTTTATCACTGGAGATGTTTGAACATAAGAATGTTAAGAATGAACAACATTAAGGATATTGTAGAAGAGAGTTGTGCATTCTGTAAGAGGTTAGATTACACAACCACAAGAACTCAAGAGACAAGTTGCAGATGGTATCAAGGTTGCAAAAATGAGATATTGGAAGGTTAATGTTATTAATCAATACAAATAAGTGGAGAAGTTACTGCATGTCTGTGGAAAGATAAGAAGTTCAAATGTTACAGATGCTTTATTTTAATCCTAGATGAAAACTTCTAAGCAGAGATAGTCTAAGACTAACAATGTATAAATGGATATATTCTCATTATATTACAACTCTACCTTTTCTTCCAATAACTCTGTTATTACTGCTTTTCTGCTTTTCCTATCCTGTAAATTTCAATGTGTCCATGAGGGAGACCAGCCACTTATTTCTAAATAAAGATATGAATTTGAGATGAATGCCCAAGGTGGCCATTGAAAAAAATGCTTATCCAGAGGTGCTCAAACTCTGACTTCCAATGCTACTGTCCTACAGCTTGTAGCTGTAACTGACGGATCTCACTTCTCAATTCGTGGGACAGTAAAGCTTTTTATTCAAGATGGCCACCATAAACTATTCCTAAGCAACAACAAAAGTTTCTGTACTTGCTATCTCCTTTACACTAACTGCTAGATCACCCAGTGGTTGTTTGCACTTGATTATTTGTCTTTGCATTTAAAAAAATTCATCTCAAGTAACTTTCAAACCATCAGAAAAACATCATGAGAATTATAAATTATAATTTTATGTTGGCTGTACCAAAAATGTAATATCCAGTATCTCCTAAGATTAAATGAACTGTAAGGCTACTAGGAACAATACGAAAGTAAGAGGCGGTGGATTGGGCAACACAGGATCAAGTGCGGCCTTATTTCACATCATAAGAAGATGGATACTCCAGGCACAAGTATAGTAATGAGTAAAATTTAATTTGCTTCATTTCCAGAAACAAGTTAAATAAGGTTAGGAAGCAAAGGGCTCCTTTCTAAAGAAAGACAGAGGGAGGGATGAAGAGAGGGAGAGAGAGTGAAAGTGGGGAGAGGGAAGACAAAAGTGATTGGGAACAAGTCATTGTAACCAAGGAGTCCTTTCAATAAAAAATGTGGGCATCATCTACTTCTATTCCATAAACACAGCTGCAAGAGACTTACATTCTCCCTCAAAAGAAAATTTCTCTTTAACCTTATTAACATTTACTGAAACGTGTTTATCTTGGATTCTGAATTCAAGTACCTCTTAACTCCTTTCCTAATAAATAGCAAATCCAAATACCATAATGCAAAATTTGTCATCAAAATTTTTAAGAATTCATAAAAGAAAGCCAACTATTTGTAGATTTTCAATAATCTCACTTAATAACAATATTGCAAAACTCCTGATCATAAGACAGAAGAATCTAGCTCACATTTGGGCTGGTCACTTCTTTCCAATTGCTGCAATGGAATTTGCTTGTGAGAAGCTGTTTTCCTCCTGAAGGTAAAGGTTGCTTTGCCTATTTACAAAATAAGAACTCAAAAAATACTAGATGTATAGTTATTATACTAGTTGTTTATTCTAAAAGTACATTGAAAGCAGAGATTCTCTGAAGAAGTATCTTTCTACCTTCCTTTAGTGTAACATATAATGTGATGTCATAAATAACCAGATGGTTAAAAAAAAATTATAAAAGATCCAGGAAAAAAAATCATAGTAATTTTTAAAAATACTAAATTATTATTCTGTTTGCTTCAGTGCAATTATCTCTGAATATAACATTGCATTATCACTCACTTTGAATCTACCATTCATAAATTTTAAAGTAAAAGGAAACTCATACAATTATTCATAGTTAATGCTGGAGTTAACTATTTTCAGAGTTAATCTCTGATTTGGTAACTTGAGTTTCTTATTGTGCTAATTAATGGTGAACATGAATCAGCCTGGTGTTTAGCGATCGGATCACCACCCCTAACTCAAACTGGAACTAAATGTTCAACCAGAGAATGAATGAAAGTTACAGAAATTAAAAAAGAAAGAAAGAAAGGAAGAAAAAGCTAGCACCCCTTTAAACTTCTGAAAATATCACAACCAAAAGGATTCAGATAAAGGAAAAGTCATTTTACCTGCTCATCATGTTTTTTATGACCTTTTAATGACTGTTGTTCTGAAATGGAATAGAATCCCAACCCCAGATACATTCAGCACAGATCATGTGTATAGCATTGCTTTTGTGTATCTTTACTAAAAAATTCTCAGTACTTTCAAGAATTCTGTTTGCGATTATATTCAGCTATTTAGATGACATTTCACCTCAATAAACAAGCAGAATTTTTTCCTTTTCAGGAAATAGAGATATTGATGCAGTTTATTCTATCAGAGTCCTTTAATTTGGAAGTCTAGCTGCTTCCTCTTATCTGAGTACACCAGCAGGCAAACTTGAGCATTATGAACCACAAATTACATGCAAACTCCAAGCAGTATGCAGTAAGCAAAGGAGATTTCATGGCTCTGTAGTTTTCATAATTACATTAAAGCCAGGAATGTTTCTCTTCAAACACCAAAATGTGTTTTTATAAAGAAATTGATTTCAGGATTTGTCATTAGAAAGTAAATAAGCAAGGATTAAAGTGGCATTTACTGTGATGAAATAGTGGCTTAAAATAGGTAAGCCAGCAGATATAGTAAAGCATGCTCCAGTCTGGAATAGGGAAGAGGGCTTAGGACTTGAAATCGGAGATTCTTTCTTGGTAAAAGGCTCAGTTCTTCTACAAGCCTGCTCAGTGACTTGTGGGAGGTCATTTCATCTTTTTACTTTCCTCATTTGCAGAAAGATGTAATTAAATTACATATTTTAAGGTCTCATTTGGTTCTAAAGACTCCTGAGGTTAAGGTTTCTTAAAGGAACTGATTTCTGGGGAGAATTTACATTAGTACAAACTATTAGTGCTCCCAAAGAGCTGTTAAGTACATTGATTTTTACAGTTTTATAAGTTTAGTGTAGTGATGCTCAAATTTTATTACGCATCAAAACTTGTTAACAGGGGGAAATTCCTGGGCTCCATGATTAAAGACATATTCAGTAGGACTGGGTGGGCATGGGAATCTGAGCTGTTAGTAGCCCTCAAGGTAATTCTCATGTAGTTGCACTTTGAGAATGGACTAGTAGCTTGAAAAAAGTAAAACAATTTCTCCAAATTCTGGTTTAATCCCCGGTAAACTGTCATAATAGGGTATTAAGGCACAATAATAATTCCAAATAAAAACTTGCTTTTCATCAGAAATATGATTACAAAAGAATAAACATGGCCGGTGGCTCATGCCTGTAATCCCAGTGCTTTGGGAGGCCGAGGCAGGTGGATCACCTGAGGTCGGGAGTTCGAGACCAGCCTGACTAACATGGAGAAACCCTGTCTCTACTAAAAATACAAAATTAGCCATGTGTGGTGGCTCATGCCTGTAATCCCAGCTCCTTGGGAGGCTGAGGCAGGAGAATCGCTTGAACCCAGGAGGCGGAGGTTGCGGTGAGCCAAGATCATGCCATAGTACTCCAGCCCGGACTGGAGTCTCAAAAAAAAAAAAAAGAATAAACAAGATGTTATTCATCAGGATAGTCCAACAACTTTGGCTGCCAAATATAATTTTGGCTGCCACATATAATTTTGGAAGAATCCCTTACTTCTTTTATTAAAAGTTATTTACATTTCTTTTCATGGAAGTCATCTTTAATTACTTTATATCCTGAGTACTCATTAAACCAATATATAGGTTGCCTTGTATTTTTTCATCAAAAATTGCTGGTTATAACTTATACTCACTATCCAGGTTATCATCAAGTCCATTCCAACAGGTTCCAAAATTTTACGGCATGAACCTATTTTTGTTCGATAAAGTGTGTAGATCTAAATATCAAAAAGATTAACTGAAAATGTATAAATATTAGTAGTTCTCTCTGGAGGGTTTGTTTAGAGGTAGGTTTAGGTTTCTGTTTATTCTTCTGTATTTTCCAATTTTTCTACAAAGGCTATTGTATCTGTTATCATCTTTCTTTTAGAATGAATAAAAAGAAAGGAGAAAGGGAAGACAACAGGAAAAGGAGGAGGAAGGGAGAAGAAGGAAATGGAAGAGGAGGAGAAAAAGAAGGATGTGTGTGTGCAGGAGAGAAAGAATGAGAGAGGCAGAGAGAAAGGAGAACGAGAGACTACCTGGCAAATACTGTAACAGAGACAATATAGGAGGCTGGCAAGACGTAGGTGTGTAGGTGCCTGGAGGAAATCAATAGTTTTTCAAAGAAAGTAATGTTTAGAGTTGAGCCTGTCAGCAGAAGTGGCACGTAAGCTTTGTAGGGTAAGAATAGCCTAAAGTGCATGAGGCATGAAAGAAAATGGCATGTTTGGGATCTAAAAGTAGTTTGCATGGATGAAGCACACACAGCGTGTATGATGTTTAAACTGTGGCTTGAAACCCACTAACAGGACAGAAACTCTGTGAAGTGGGTCATGGACAGCATTTTACAAATTAATAGGCTATAACAGAAACTATGAAAGTGAATTACACATAAGAATAAGTGCCAAATTTTGTGAAGATTTTCATGTGTGTCTGTGAGTGTGTGTGTAAATTAGATCATGTTATAAAATATGTATTTTTAATTGTAGGTTGAGGTCAGAAAAACGTGAAGCTGTTGCCGAGGCCTGGGAAGTTGTGAGCGCTCCATGCAGGAAAATGGCAGGACCAGATTGCATCTGACTAAAAGACATCACTTGAGTTCTGTGGTAGGTAGAATGATGGCTCTCCAAGGGGTCTACTTTCCAATCTCCAACCCTGTGAATATTACTTTATATGGCCAAAGGAATTTCATAGGTATGATTAAATTAATGATCTCACAATGAGGGGATTATCCTACAATTTCTAGATGGGCTCAATGTAATCACAAAGGTTTTTATAAGGGAACGGAGGAGGCAGGAGAATCAGAGAAGAGGTAACAACAAAAGCAAAGGTGAGAAAGAGATTTGATGAGACGCTATGCTGTTGGCTATGAAGGTAGAGGAAGGGGCCATGAGCCCAGGAATGCAGGTGGCCTCTCAATGCCAGAGAAGACAAAGAAGTGGATTCTCCCCCTGGAGCTTCCAGAAGGAACACAGCCCTGAAGACCCATTTTGGACTTCTGACTTCCAGAACTGTAAGATAATATGTTTGTGTGGTTTCAAGCCACTACATTTTTGGTAATTTGTTACAGTAGTAGGAAACGAATACACATTCCATAGGAATGGATTTGCTTCAGGAAGCTAGAAGCTTAAAAATAAAGAGAGGCGATTGCAATATCCTGGGGAGAGACGATAAGTAAACTAAAGTATAATTGGAAAGGAAACTCATCTTCAGAATGTGAAAGATTCTGAAGGTATTTCAAAGGTAAAACTGATAACACCTGAAGAATAATAGAATTTGGAATGTGATTAAAAAATGAACTAGGCCAGGTGTAGTGTCTCACACCTATAATCCCAGCACTTTGGAAGTCCGAGGCGGGTGGATCACAAGGTGAGGAGATCGAGACCAACCTGGCTAACATGGTGAAATCCCATCTCTACTAAAAATACAGAATTAAAAAATTAGCCGGGCGTGGTGGTGGGCGCCTGTAGTCCAAGCTACTCTGGAGGCTGAGGCAGGAGAATGATGTGAACCAGAGAGGCAGAGCATGCAGTGAGCTGAGATCGCACCACTGCACTCCAGCCTGGGTGACAGGGCGAGACTCCATCTCAAAAAAAAAAAAAAAAAAAAGGAAATAAAAGATTTTTAAACCAGAGTACCTCAAAAGCTATCTCCTTTCAACTATTTGGAGGTCTATCCATAAAGGAGGAATTAATGACAATGTTACTATAGCATTTCTTCTTGCCAGGATCACCAAACCAAGTGTTCTCAATTTTTTCCTCAGCAGCATGATTGTGAAATGGTTCAAGACCTCGAGTCGATTTCCTAGCCAACTGGAACAGGCAGGAATATCTATTTTTAAATACGTATTACATATTTTAAATACACACCTATGCATCAATTAATCATATTAAAAATCTTCACAGGGAAATAATGATGATGTTTTGCAAAGTGGTTCATAAAGTACAATCACATTATCACCTAACTTGATCTTAGACAAACTTTGCAAGGGAACACACAATGAATATTATCTTTGCTTTGCAGATAAACAACTTAGGGCTCTGAATTGGGAGGACATTCTCAAGCTTATCTATTAGATCCACAAGTTAATTGTGTTTCTAAACAGAAATAGAAGTCTTAGACTGAATGTAACTGATTCGGTATTTTAATAAAATTCAAACTCAGTTCATGGAATTAATATGCACACACACAAACTGCATTCTTTGCTTCTCTCCATCCCCCTCATCACAGAACATGAAAATGTAAAGTATCAGGATGCTTTGGATTTTAATATTAACTGGAAGTTTCATAAAACTAAATCATATGAAACACATGCAAAGCACTGCTTTTGTCTTTTAAAGTATTGCTATTAACTTGTAAGATAATATTCAGAAAACATTTCCTCAGCACTTACTACCAAGTGTCATGTGCCATTCTGACTCATTTAAAAATTGAATAGATGGCATCTGCCTTTCAATTCAATTCAAAAATGGAACAGACGCGGGGCATTCCAAGATGGCTGAATAGGAACAGCTCCAGTCTGCAGCTCCCAGTGTGATCTATGCAGAAGACGGGTGATTTCTGCATTTCCAACTGAGGTACCTGGTTCATCTCATTGGGACCAGTTGGACAGTGGGTGCAGCCCATGGAGGGCGAGCCGAAGCAGGGTGGGGCGTCGCCTCACCCAGGAAGCGCAGGCGGTTGGGGGATTTCCCTTTCCTAGCCAAGTGAAGCTGTGACAAACTATCTGGAAAAATGGGACACTCTCACCTAAATACTATGGTTTTCCCAAGGTCTTAGAAACTGGCAGACAAGTTGATTCTCTCCCGTGACTGGCTTGGTGTGTCCCACGCCCATGGGGCCTTGCTCACTGCTAGCACAGCAGCCTAAGATCAAACTTCGAGGCAGCAGCCTGGTTGGAGGAGGGGCGTCTGCCATAGCAGAGGCTTGAGTAGGTAAACAAAGTGGCAGGGAAACTCCAACTGGGTGGAGCCCATCTCACCTCAACAAGGCCTACTGCCTCCAGACTCCACCTGTGTGGGTAGGGCATAGCTGAACAAAAGGCAGCAGACAACTCTGCAGACATAAACCTCCCTGTCTGACAGCTCTGAAGAGAGCAGTGGTTCTTCCAGCATGGCGTTTGAGCGCTGAGAATGGACAGACTGCCTCCTCAAGTGGGTCCCTAACTCCCATGTAGCCTAACTGGGAGACACCTCTCAGTAGGGGCTGAAAGACACCTCATATAGGTGGCTGCTCCTCTGGGACGAAGCTTCCAGAGGAAGGATCAGACAGCAATATTTTCTGTTCTGCAATATTTGCTGTTCTGCAGCCTCCGCTGGTGATACCCAGGCAAACAGGGTCTGGAGTGGAATTCCAGGAAACTCCAACAGACCTGCAGCTGAGGGACCTGACTGTTAGTAGGAAAACTAACAAACAAAAAGGAATAGCATCAACATCAACAAAAAGGTCAACTACACCAAAACCCCATCTGTAGGTCACCAATATCAAAGACCAAAGATAGATAAAACCACAAAGATGGGGAGAAACCACAGCAGAAAAGCTGAAAATTCTAAAAATCAGAGCACCTTTTCTCCTCCAAAGGATCACAGCTCCTTGCGAGCAACGGAACAAAGCTGGATGGAGAATGACTTTGACGAGTTGAGAGAAGTAGGCTTCAGAAGGTTGGTAATAACAAACTTCTCCAAGCTAAAGGAGGATGCTTGAACTCATCGCAAGGAAGTTAAAAACCTTGAAAAAAGATTAGGCGAACGGCTAACTAGAATAAACAGTGTATAGAAGACCTTAAATGACCTGATGGAGCTGAAAACCATGGCATGAGAACTTCGTGATGCATGCACAAGCTTCAATGGCCAATTTGATCAAGTGGAAGAAAGGGTATCAGTGATTGAAGATCAAATTAATGAAATAAAGTGAGAAGATAAGTTTAGAGAAAAAAGAGTAAAAATAAATGAACAAAGCCTCCAAGAAATATGGGACTATGTGAAAATACCAAATGCACATTTGATGGTGCACCTGAAAGGGATGGGGAAAATGGAACCAAGTTGGAAAACACTCTTCAGGACATTACCCAGGAGAACTTCCCCAACCTAGCAAGGGAGGCCAACATTCAAATTCAGGAAATACAGAGAACACCACAAAGATACTCCTCGAGAAGAGCAACTCCAAGACACAAAATTTTCAGATTCACTAAAGTTAAAATGAAGGAGAAAGTGTTAAAGGCAGCCAGAGAGGAAGGTCGAGTTACCCACAAAGGGAAACCCATCATAACAACAGGAGATCTCTTGGCAGAAACCCTACAGGCCAGAAGATGGTGGGGGTCAATATTCAACATTCTTAAAGAAAAGAATTTTCAACCCAGAATTTCATATCCAGCCAAAATTAGTTTCATAAGTGAAGGAGAAAAAAAATCCTTTACAGACAAGCAAATGCTGAGAGATTTTGTCACCACCAGGCCTGCCTTACAAGAGCTCCTGAAGGAAGAACTAAACATGGAAGGAAACAACTAGTACCAGCCACTGCAAAAACATCCCAAATTGTAAATACTGTCGATGCTAGGAAGAAACTGCATCAATTAACGGTCAAAATAACCAGCTAACATCATAAGGACCAAATCAAATTCACGCATAACAATATTAACCCTAAATGTAAATGGACTAAATGCTCCAGTTAAAAGACATAGACTGGTAAATTGGATAGAGTCAAGACCCATCAGTGTGTTTATTCGGGAGACCCATCTCATGTGCAAACGCACGCAGGCTCAAAAAAAAAGGGATGGAGGAAGATCTACCAAGCAAATGGAAAGCAAAAAATACCAGGGATAACAGACATTGAACCAACAAAGATCGAAAGAGACAAAGAAGGTCATTACATAATAGTAAAGGTTCAGTTAACAATAAGAGCTAACTATCCTAAATATATATGCACCAAATACAGGAGCTCCCAGATTCATAAAGCGAGTCCTTAGAGACCTACAAAGAAACGTAGACTCCCACACAATAATAATGGGAGACTTTAACACCCTACTGCCAATATTAGGCAGATCAACGAGACAGAAGGTTAACAAGGATACCCAGGACCTGAATTCAGCCCTGCAACAAGCAGACTTAATAGACATCTACAGAACTCTCCACCCTAAATCAACAGAATATACATTCTTCTCAGCACCACATCGCACTTATTCTAAAATTGACCACCTAATTGGAAGTAAAGCACTCCTCAGCAATTGTAAAAGAACAGAAATCACAACCAACTGTCTCTCAGACCAATCAAATTAAAACTCAGGATTAAGGAACTCACTCAAAACTGCACAACTATAGGGAAACTGAACAACTTGCTCCTGAACGACTACTGGGTAAATAATGAAATGAAGGTAGAAATAAAGATGTTACTTGAAACCAATGAGAACAAAGACACAACGTACCAGAATTTCTGGGACACATTTAAAGCAGTGTGTAGACGGAAATTTATAGCACCACTATGCCCACAAAAGAAAGCAGGAAAGATCTAAAATTGACACCCTAACATCACAATTAAAAGAACTACAGAAGTAAGAGCAAACAAATTCAAAAGCTAGCAGAAGGCAAGAAATAACTAAGATCAGAGCAGA